GGTAGGAGGGAGATATCAACGGCTGGAGGTAGTACGGGGGGCGCGGCAGGTTGTGCTGTGTGATCGTGTGTGTGTGTGTGTACATAAGTATGTAATGGTAGTGTAAAAGAACTGGTCTGTGAAGGTGCGAGTGTAAGTAAGGAAACAGAAACGACGGGGGAGACAGCTCCCCGATGGGAGGCAGGAAGTTCACATCATTGCGAGTTCACAACACCGCCCTGTACGGCAACCACCAAACCGGCACAGACACGCACAGGCAGGTAAATATGTTTTGATGTGCCATACAAAGAGAGTAAGTACCCGTGATGAGACAGGTCTTTTCCCTCCCCTGCCCCCCTCTCCCCTCCGTTCCCTCAGCACACGACACGAGCATGTATGTTTGCATGAGGTAGACAAACCCTAAAACCCCACAACGTACCTACGGTAAGCCCCACCGACAGGCTGTCTATGCTGTAGAAGGACGGAGCGGACCAGCGAATGACTGGAACCCCTGCACCGCCACCAACACCTCCACCACCGCCACCGCCACCCCCGGTTGCGCGGCTGCTGCCCTCGAAGGGGGGAAAGGAGGCGGAGGCGCCGCCAGCGGCCCAGCTCGGGGTGAATATGGGGGTGCCGTACCCGCCGCCCCAGCTGCCGCCGCCAGCGGCGGCGCCGCCGGTGACAGCGGTGCCAGCCCCTCGCGCAGCAGCGATGTTGCTGTCGTATTCCGAGGTAAGCTTGTTGATCAGGAAGCCACTGCCGTGGCTGTACGACAAGCCCAGGCCGCCCTTTGTCGTACTCATGAACATGATGGCCTGTGGCGCGGTGTGGGTGTAATTGTAATGGTGGCGGCAGTTCCCGCATCTTTCCCCTCTCCCTCCCCCGGCTACCTATCTGCCTAGGACCCCCCCTTTTCTAGCTGACAGCAGCTGTGGCCCCACATACACATACACAATACACATACACATACCGTAAGAGTGAAAAGCTTCTCTTCAATCCATACTTTAAAGAAGCCATCTTCATAAAAAAAACCGTACAATCTGTTGTACATGTCGTACATGTTGTACGGTCATGTACGTGAAACACATAGAAGAACACAACGACCCTAACCCTCCCCTTCCACCGGAGGGAGCCTTAGAGATGCTTTCCTAAACCCCCCCGGGGGAAAGAGAGCGGAGCTGGCGGACCTGCGGCTCTCTCTGCTGCTTAGGAGATGGGGGGGAGGAGACAGAGGCCCCCCTCTAGCGCCCCTCTCCCCCGTCCGCTTAGGGAGAGAGCTTAGGCGGTCTTTCAAGTGGGCCTGGACAACAGCCCCTCTGTGGCCAGTGTCGTCAGGCCTGGTGAGATACTTGTAACCTTACACACACACACACACACACACACACACACACACAGAGGCGCACACACCTGACACGCCTGTAGTGCCGACACGGGCAGCAGTCCCGCCGGCTGACCCAGGCGATCCTGTAATGGCGGTGGTGGCGGTGGTGAGAGAAAGAGAGAAAGAGAGAGAGAGACGAGGTGGCGGTGAAAATATGGATGGCGGCGAAAGTGTGCGGAGATATGTGCACCACGTCCTCAACCATTCATGAAAAGAAATGCGGCGTGGAGGCTACTCGGAACAACAATGCGAGTAACAGCACCAGCACGACAACAACAACAAGAAAAGAAGAACAACAACAACAGCAATAACAGCAGCGTCAACAACAACAACAACAACAAGGTTACAAGGTGGCTGCAAAAGTTCAGCACAAATGCCTGGGAGGTCATTCGTCTTTCCTCCTCCCCCAACCCCCCCCGCCCGGCCGCCTAGGTCCCCACCCCGTCTGTCCGTCCGTCCCGTCAACTCTGAAGCCCGGAAGGTGGGAAGGCCCAGCTTTCCTGGACAACAACAACAGAGCAGCAACAGCACTTTGGTGTGTACACGTGTGCTGTCAGTACATCGTGCTCGTCCACCTCTTCCGTACCTGCGGTAGTGACTGCGGTCCAAGTCGCACAAGCTGCCCCAGGGTGGTCACCGCATTGTCCACCTGGTTTCGGAGGAAGTCGGCCAGGTTCCCCTGGAGCCATGATTGGGCGGGGTGGTGGGGGGGGGGGCGGGTGGGAGTGGAAACACAAGGGGGGCCCCTCAAGGGTGGGAAGGGGTCGTATGCAAGAAGAAAAAGGCCCAAGGGGCCCTTGAAGGGAGGGAGAGTCCAATCGCGTCCGTGTATGCGTTCGTTAGGGACGGAAAAGAGGACCTAGCTGCTGCGTGCGGTTGCGGTTGGGGAGGAGCTGATGGGTGCTGGGAAAGAGGGGGGAGGAGAGGGGAGGAGTTTCCTCACAACCCCAACTGAATGGAGTGACCCGCGGGTCTCGCTCGGTTGGTCAGTCGAAATTCGCTATAGACAAAACAACCCTCCTCGGCTGTGGACATATACTGTGGACACCACTGCATCCCGGAAAACTGCTTGCGTCAGTTGTTTGATTGTGAACAAGGCAAACCGAGCGCGCGCCACAACACAAACATTTATTGGCTTTTTTTCGAGCGTGGGAAACTTGGAGTTGTGAGAACCAATTTACGTAATCGAGATACACCTTAGTGTATGAGATTAAATTAAAGCGTAGGACCTTAAAAAAAACGACCACCTGCCCGGTTGCTTACAAGCCACTTACATGCTGATGGCTGTGCGACTCTCTGGGCGCTTCTCCTGGACCAGGCTCCGCAGCTACGTCTCCCGCGGGGCCTTGAGGACTGACGCTCGTGAAGGAGGACATTTTCTTGGACCTCCGAGCTTTCCCTGTCTTGGCTTTTAGGGCCTTTGTTGTTAGGGCCGCACCCAAAACGTTTGTTACGTTAGCGCTAAAATAGTAGCTGCAGGCGACGCGATCCAAAGATGAAGCCGGCTCAAACACGTTTGCGTCCTCCGGAAAAACTGTTGGCAGCTGCTGGTTTGAAGCCTTTGAAGGCGACGTGCTCTCTTCCTCTTTTTCTATGCAGCTCTAGGAACGCTCTGCGCGCAGTGTGGAAGGCGGGCTGTTATGCGGTATGCAGGAAAGATATGTAGATGTGAAGAGGAACGAAGTGTGACAGGAATTCTGATGGGAGACGATGGGAGAGGGCCAAAAAACTCCTTTTGGAGTTTCCGACTCCATCCGCCCCACGACAGACTGCTGACGTTGATGTCGGCCCTCGTTCCGAAAGCAAAGCAAATTCCCAAGCTCACCTCCCGACAGAACAAGGACAAGGCTATACGCGTCATGGATCGTTACACTATTGCGACGAAAAAAATCACCTCCACAGCAGCTAAAGTAAAAGCAAGCAAACTAACAAGATTTGTGGCCATAGTCGCATAATAGAATGCCAATCTTGCATCCACCTGTGCATGTGGAGAGGATATAGGTGAATACATGCTGCAAACGTGACGGTTTATTAAATGCTCGTCATGTTGGCAAGAGCATTTCCGACTGCTTTTGCGGTGGCTGCATCTCGAAGGCGCCAGGCCACAGCTGCACTCCTCCTCGACAGCCGCCGCTCCCGCCGTGACCGCTACCTCTGTTGGACCCACCGCCACCTCCCCGGCGACCCAGATGATGTTTCCCTAGGACCCACCCCCGCGGCAGCCGTCCCGCCAATCAGCCACGCACTCGGCCCGCACCCCACCACGCACCGACCAGCCGGCGCGATGCAGCCGCCGCCGCCAGCGATAGGGGGTGACCCGCGGGTCGGCGACGGCGCGGCCAACGGCGGGGCGCCGGATGACGCCGCCGCCGCTGCCGCCGGCGTCCCCGGCGGCGCTGTCGTGTCGCCGGGTGCAAATCCTGTTCAGGATCTTGTAGATCCGGCATTCGATTCTCCATTGGTCAGTACGGGACAATACGAATTAGGATGCCGTACACTCGGGACAGTGGCCAAGTGCGTGTGGTGGATCTTGCATGAGCAGCATCCGTAGCAATAGCAGTAGCAGTAGTGCTTAGGAAAGCTGTGAGGCAAATCATTCCTAGCCGCTGCACGATTGAACTTTAGTTTCGTGTTAGTTAATGAAGATAGCCCGGGGTTAACGCTAAGAAGTCACGATTAGGCGTGTAGATAGATCGTATAGCCGGTGACGGACACTATAGCCCAGCAGCCAGCAGCCAGTGTACCAGAGCCCGACATCTGAGTGGTATATTCGTACCTGGTGCTGAGATCAACCCCCGGTGACCGCCCGAGTGTTATTGCACGTGCTTGCACCCACCATCGTTTGGTCCTTACCCGCCCAGGCAGGAAGGGCGCACACACCATGATGTTTCTGCCCCCCGCATCCGGGCCTGGAACTCTACTTTCCACTCACCACTTCCCGACACGGGCCCCCCCCCCAAAAAAACAAACAAACGCCATGTTGCACCTTTCGATGATTCCCCACCTGGTCCGGTGGTTGTCAGTTGTCAGTTGTCAGTTGGTTGTGTGATCGGTTATGCGGGTTTCCTTCCCCAGCTGGAGCGAACGGAGCAGACGGGTTTCGGCGCCACAGTGGGTTCTGGAGCGGGCGGCCTGGTGGCTGCGGGACTAGGCACATTGATCGGTGAGCTCAACACCTCCCCCCTCACACACACACTCACACTCACACCCCACACTGCCCCACGCACGCGCACTCTCTCGTGAGTCACCCCGTGACGAGAGGTTTGATGAAAGCAAGCGACGAAGAACTACCTGGCAGCGACCTAGACCATCAATTGTTGAAAAGTTAAATAGTAACATGCCATAACACAAAGCTTGCTTTTTTCGTGTCTCAATGATAAGGCATTGTTTATACCTTACAGACATTGTCTGTGTCCTCCGAGTCATACCCGCGTGGCGAATTCGCGCATCGCTGCCCGGCCAGGCCCTGCATGTGTAAACCTTCACCTCCTTGAAAAGGCTTTCTTCAAAGTCACTTCCGCTCCGCTCCGAAACATCATTCCGGAACGCTCTGGAACCCGTCCTTGCTTGCAGCTGCTCGCCTCAGACGGATTTCACGTCCTGTTTGTTGTTCGTTGGGGTCGTTGGCCGTTGGAACTTTCCTTGAGACAAGTGCCTTAACGTCTAAATACAGCTTTTTATCAACGTCTTCTGTGTTACGTACGCGTCTTACATTCTGGCTCTCTACAGCCCTGGAAAAAATGATTACACGCGCATCGTATCACTCGGTCCCCCCGGGGGATGGGGGGGAAGTGTTGCAGGGGGGGAGCGGTACGACCGGGGGGGGGGGGAGACCTCCTGCACGGCACACGGCTCAGTGTTAGTGGCGCTTCCATTCTTCTTTCCTTTGGTTTGCACATGTGCGGCTGAGTCGCACACTTATATATATAAGTCGTACCTGCACATCGCAGGCGGCCCGGCGGTCGGCCTTGTCGCCGGTGCCGCCGGCGCCCTGGCAGGTGCGGCGGTTGGCGGCACCGTGGTGGTTTCGGAGCAAATCGGCAGTGCGGCGGGGGATCGAGCGGTAGTGATGTTGGATGGAAGAGCTGGGGAGCCGTCGTACGGCAACATCGAAGCAGTGCGGCAGGCGGTGCCCGAGCAGTCCCGGCGGGCGGAGGAGCCCACCAGCGCCATCAGGGGGCCGACGTCTCCGTCGCCTCCGCCGCCACCTCCACCTCCACCGGCAGGCAGTCGGGAACCCTGACGAGGCTGGGGGAGTGCAGGACTGAAGGCGGGAGCACGCCAGGACCGCTTTCACCACCACTGCACTGCCCGCACTACCAATAGACCACCAGTGACGATGACGCCACCACCGGTGGCGGCGGCGGTGGTAGCGGCGGCGGCGGCAACGGCGGCGGCGATGGTGATGGCACCGGCGTATTCAACTAACGCAGCACAGCCCCACTCTTTTATTGCATGCTATGCCACCAGGGGGGATGTGTTTCTTTTGCATCTTGTTGGACTTGGAGTGTTCGAGTGCGTGAGACCAGTTGGATAGTACGCTAGCCAGCGGCTGCTGTGGTTCCTTGCTGTTGTTGTTAAAAGTGTTTTTTTTGCCAAAACCGCGTATTGAGCTGTTTTGCTTCTCGGAATGGTGTCACCACGCGTGTGTGTATGTCGTATACATGTTCTCGCCTTTCAAAAGGTTTGCGTATATGTGACACCGCATGGAAACACATTCCGTACGGCGTTACGACATTTACAAAGTGCATACATGTGAATTAACTTTTCCTGTGCTTAACCTTACTGACTGCGGTTGGCAGATCTGTTTAATTGCTTCATTGATACCGTACATAACTGGTAATAACCGCGTAATGTTTTCATCTTTTCTTCATTTTTTCATTTTTGTGGAAGCAGCTGGCAGCCAGGAGCCGGGAGCATTCAGAAACCGCAACAAGAACAACAAAGAACTTCCCGAGGGCGTGTCCATGGAATCCCTCATCGTGCATCTTTCCATTTGGCATCCATATGTGTGTCTGTGTGTGTGTGTGTCTGTGTGTGTGTTCCGAGTTCGACACTCCGAGTACGACACTTCATCTCCTCATCCTCTTGAGGTCCGCCTCTTGAAGACCAGCATGAAGTTGTTTGCGGGCATGTCGCGAACCGCCACTAGCTCCTGCATACGTCGAAAGACAGACAGACAGACAGGTAAACAAACGGACAAACAGATGGACAGACAGCGAGGGACGAACAACAATATGTTGCGCGACGTGGGGCAGCCACCGAAACTGCGCTGTCCAGAGTATCCCCTCCCTCCCTCCCTCCCTCCCTCCCTCNC